AGATGGGGTTTCTCCATTTTGGTCAGGCTGATCTCGAACTCCCAACCTCAGGTGATCCGCCCACCTCAGCCTCCCAAAGTGCTGGGATTACGGAGAATGTATTTTAAAATCATGAAATAGTTCCTAAATACAGAAAAGAATCCAGGTTTCACATTTTCACATTTGCCATTTGCTTCAGACCTTCTTTGTTTACGAAGAAATAAACTGCCGGTGATTTGACTCCATCCTGCCCCCTGGCATCCTGGTTCCTTGCACAAAGCCAGAGCCTGCAGCCTAAGGCAGGATGGAGTTCAGGGTCAGAGCGTGCAGCATGAAGGAGCTGCTGGCATCTTGGGAGCTCAGGGTGACTGTGGGATTAGTATCCCAGCGACCTCTGTTTTAGGCAGATGACTTGCGCAAACGTTGCAGGTGTGGATAGAAAAGGGGAAGGTAAAACAGGCAGCAGGGAGACCAATTGAGGGTGGTTTCTGTCATCCAGGAAAGAGGGGTTACAGCTGGGAGCAAGGTGGAGGTTGTGGGAATGCAGATTTGAGGGTTTGTTAGGAGGTGGCTTGGCGAGGGGGGAAGAGGTGAAGATTGGATTCAGGCTCAGGTGGTAAAGTGGATGGCGCTGCCTGTGGCTGCAGTCCCGAAGGGCAGCACCTGACCTGGAGCAGATGGAAGCAGTATTGGTTGTGGTGAGGGTCAGGGCCTGAGATCAGGGCCAGAGGCGCTGATGTGAAATGGGGAGGATGGGCTGGTTAGAGTGGAGGGGACAAAACAGAAGCTCGAGGGCACTGGGATTTAAGGGACCCACGGAGGACCAGCCCACAAGTATGTTGGCACCTTCTACCTCCTGGCCCCAAGGTGTGTTTCTGACACCCACGTTCCCATTCCCAGTCCTGAGTCTGTTGGAGGCTTGAGCCCTGCTGACTCAGCCCCTTTCCCAGGTCCATGCCCCTCGCTCACGCCCTTGTACTCCAGGGAGCCTGAAATTGGGCAAACCCAAAACCCACCTTGCCTAATGGCAACTCCACCCCTCCTTCCAAGTCACATCATCTACTTATAGGATAAGACCTCCCTTACATTAAAAACAAATGTATTTAAGCTCATTTAAGTTTTCATCCTTTGTAAATGAAAGAACTCTCACTAACACATGTCCCAAGGCTAATGTCTCGTGGATGTCACTCTTGAGACCTAATGTGAAAACTTTGTTTTAGAGATTTTTCCAGCCAGCCATGGTGGTTCTTGCCTGTATTTCCAGTACTTTGGAAGGCCTAGGTGGTGTTATGGCTTGAGCTCAGGAGTTCAAGACCAGCCTGGACAACACAGCAAGACCCCATCTCTTCAAAATAAAAAAATTAGCTGGGCGTAATGGTGCATACCCAGCTACTCAGAACACTGAGGTGGGAAGATCACTTGAGCCCAGGAGTTTGAGGCTACAGTGAGCTATGATTGCACCACTGTACTTCAGCCTGAATGACAGAAAGAGACTATCTATTTATCTATCTATCTATCTATCAATCATCTATCTATGTATCTATTCTATTTCCAGAATCACCCACACCCTTACAGTGCTCAAGCTATGCCAGTTTCTCTAGGTATATCCTGTTAGTATTAGTCATCTATTATTGTGTAACTAATTACAGCAGTGCCCCCTTATCCATGAGGGATATGTGCCAAGACCCTCCCCTGACCTGTGAATGCCTAAAACCGCAGATAGTACCAAACCCTATATATACTATGTTTTTCAACCTGATAACCAAGATGGCTATTAAGTGACTGAGAGGTGGATAAGCTGGACAAAAGGATGATTCACATCCCGGGTAGATGGAACGGCAAGGTTTTATCATGCTACTCAGAATGGCGAATAATTTAAAACACATATTAATGTATAACATTTTCCATTTAATATTTTTGGACTGCAATTGACCAAAAGTAACTATAATCACAGTAAGTGAAACCTCTGATAATGGGGGACAACTGTCCCTCAAAACATAGTGGCTTAAAACAACTCTCAATGTTTATTATCACACAGTTTCTGAGGGTTAGGAGTCCAGAAGTGGCTTTGCTGGGTGGTTCTGGCTCAGAATCATGAGGTTGTGGTCAAGTGGTTGCAGTTGTGAAAGTATAAGAATCAAAATGGAGTCGCTAATGCTAAGAAAACCCTGACAAATAGAGCCAGAAAAGGCCATGAATAGAGGCTTCTCATGCTTGTATGCCTGATAATAAAAAGACTACAAAAACCATAACCTTGCACAGAGGCCATTACAACCTTACACAAAAAATACATCTGCAAGGACACCTGCCCAGCAAAAGTTCCAACCTTGGACTGGCATCACCCTTGTTACTGATTTTTGTAGCCAAGGATAATTATTTCAAGACAATTATCTAATTTTCCTCATTTTTCCTTTAAAAACCTTTGTCTTCCTTTATCTCCCTGAATATGCACATAATTTACTATGGCACACATATTCCCATTGCAATGCTCTGGTCCCAAATAAATGTCTTTTATTTTAGAGAACCTCTCTATATTTGTTATTTAGGTTAACACAGTCAAGGTGTGGGCCAGGGTTGCAGTCATCTGAAGGTTCAAATGGGGCTGGAGGACCCATTTGCAAGGTGGCTCACGCACACAAATGAAAAATTGGTGCTCCAGCCCAGGCAACATAGGGAGACCCTGTCTCTACAAATAAAAAATTAAAATAAAAAAAAATCAGCTGGGCATGGTGGCACATGCCTGTGGTCCCAGCTACTTAGGAGGCTGAAGAGGGAGGATCTCTCAAGCCTGGGAGGTTGAGGATGCAGTGAGCCATGACTGCACCACTGCACTCTGTCTGGGAGACAAAGTGAGATCCTGTCTCCAAAAAATAATTTGTGCTGGCTGTTGGTTGGAGGCTTCAGTCTCCTACTTTATGGGTGTCTCCATGGGCTGCTTGAGCATCCTCCTGACATGGTGGTTGGCTTCCCCCAGAGAGAATAATCCAAAAGAGTGCCAGCTGGAAACTGTAATGTCTTTTACAACCTGGCCTCAGAAGTCATTTACCATCATTTCCATAATATCCTATTGGTCACATCAGTCAGCTCTATTCAGTGTGGGTGAGGACTGAACCATGGCATGAATACCAGGAGGTGAGGATGACTGGGGACATCTTGGGGGGTGCAGACTCTAGACTACCTCGTGGTAATGACTTGGGCACCTTCCCAACACCCCTGACATCCTGGAGAGAAAGGCTCACCCACCACCCCTGCCTGCATGAGCTAGCCCTATCTGGCTGTCTCTCCCACTCCTGTGAGCGGCTGCCCCAACTCTTCCTCCAGAGCTGTGGGGCTGGTAGGACCCCGAGAACAGCCTCCAGCCCACCAGTCTAAGCTGGACACCATGGCAATGGACTCTTGTCCACTTCTCTCTTTGGCCATCTAGGGAGCATTACTGTAACTTTGGTGGATTCTTTGATTTCCTTCTCTGACGGGGTGACAGGCTGTGGGCCAGAGAGGCAGGGCTGAAGCCATATGTGGCAGGACATGGTCCAAAGCTCCTCTTCCTAATACAGCTATTCCCAACAGCAAGTATACAGGAACTAGAGCCACTTTTAAAAATCTCATCTTTAAAAAGTGGTGTAGGAAAGAGCACAGACACTGAAACAGGTGGCCTCAAATCTCCACCCCAATACTTGCTATGTTTGCTTGGCTAAGACAACAAAATATCCTGATTCTCAGTTTCCACATCTGTAAAACAGGGGCAATAATAGTTGTTTTAGTACATTTTGTGTTGCTATAAAGGAATGTCTGAGGCTGGGTCATTTCTAAAGAAAAGAGATTTATTTGGCTCGTGATTCTGCAGACTGTACGAGCATGGCACCAGAAGCTTGATGCCAGCATCTGCCTCTGGTGAGGGCTTCAGGAAGTATCTAATCATGGCAGAAGAGGAGGGGAACCAGCGTGTCACATAGTGAGAGAGCAAGAGAAATGCCGGGCCTCTTATAAATAACCAGCTCTTATGTGAATAATAGAGTGAGAACTACTCATTCCTGTAGGGGAGGGCATCAAGCCATTCATGAGGGATCTGCTCCTATGACCCATACCACTCCTACTTGGCCCCAACTTCAACACTGGGGGATTACATTTCAATATGAGATTTGGAAGGGACAAACATCCAAACCTTATCAATAGTGCTGTCAAAAGATAAAATTACAGCAAACTTAGTTATAGATCCAATTGTCTTTTATTCATAATTCATGAATAAAGGCTGCCTCTACTCTACAAAATAGAATGAGTGCTCTCACGAGGCAAAGCAGAGCAGTGAGCTTTGTAAGGTGGGAATAAGGAAACAGAACAGCAGAAGAGAAACGGATTCATTAATGTCAGGTTACTTCAGGTTACTTTCTCATAAAGGTCAAAGAAGAGGGAATTTTCTTATTAGGTTGACTCTGGTAGACTGAAATTTGCTGTTTTCAGGAGAAAAAAAATGGTCTGTTTTGGATTTATCTGCTTCCTTAGAGTTTCAGTTCGATTATGTGGCATTTAGAATGAGGGACTCCATTTTGATTTTGTCTGTGCTATTGGGGTCTAGTGCAGGGGCTTAGTCCATTGTTTTGTTTAACAATGCCTATCTCTGGCCAGGTGTGGTGGTTCACGTCTGTAACCCCAGCACTTTGGGAAGCTGAGGCAGGTGGATCACGAGGTCAGGAGATCAAGACCATCCTGGCTATCATGATGATACCTTGTCTCTACGAAAAATACAAAAAATTAGCCGGGCGTGGTGGCAGGCACCTGTAGTCCCAGCTACTTGGGAGGCTGAGGCAGGAGAATGGCATGAACCTGGGAGGCGAAGCTTGGCGTGAGCGGAGATCATGCCACTGTACTCCAGCCTGGGCAACTGAGCAAGACTCCATCTCAAACAAAAACAAAAACAAAACAAAACGCAAACAAAAAACAATGCCTATTTCTAGTGTTTTAACCACCCAACCAGTTCTTCTTGCCCACTGCATAGATAGAGCTAATTTACTGAGACAGCGGTATGGCAGTAGAGAAAGAGTTTAATACATACAGAACCAGCTAAGTGGAAGACAGGAGTGTATTACTTAAATAAATCTCCCTAAAAGCTCAGAGGCTAAGGTTTTTAAGAATAAAAACCTAGAGAATGGGGAATACTGATTGGTTGGACATGAAATCCTAGGGGTGTGGAAAATGGTCCTTTTGCTCTGAGTCAGCTTCTGGGTGTACCAGTTGAGTCATGAATCGTGGGTCCAGGTGGAGTCTGTAGGTTGCCACAATGCAAAAGTCTGAAAAACATCTCAAAAGACCAATCTTAGGTTCTACAATAGTGATGTGGAGCAATGACTGGTTATCATTTAACTATGCCCATATTTTAGCAGAATTCAGACCCTTCCCACATTTGTAATCTAGTAGGCTTTCATTAGTTTTATAAAGGTGGTTTCAGGGGTTAGTTTTAGGGAAGGACTATTATCATCCTTGCTTCAAAGTTAAACTGTAAAGTAAGTTCCTCCCCAGGTTTGCTTGGCCTACATTCAGGAAAAGGTGAGGACAGCCAGCCTGTGGGGCTGGAAGCAAGAAGGAGTCAGCCATGCTGGACTCTCTCACTGTCATCATCTTTGCAAAGGTGGTGGTTTCAGTGTTGAATGAGAAAACGTGTAGTCCCAGCCCACACCTGAGACTGAGGATGACTTTTGTGTGATTACGATTGTTAAGCTTTAAGAGAGGAAGGGCAGGGAGGGATGTAGTAGCTAAGGCAGGATTGGAACCTGGCTCTGGTAACTGGCTTCCTTCCCCTAGGGCTGCAGGAGAGTCCTTGTCCCCTCCCTCCGTGTCTCCCCTTTCACCGGATGCCGTCCACTCCCCCTGGGAGCCTCTTGGCTCTCTCTGCTCTTTCCCACACAATGCCTAGAGCTCACACAGGCTGTAGGGTTTCCTTTCCTGACGGAAACTAGAGCACCTCCCCTGCCAATCAATCACCCCTCAATCCGTCCACTGTGTGGAGGGAGAGGTGCTGAATTGTAGATTTACCTCCACTCCTCCTCTCCAGAAAAATCCTTCCATGGCTCCTCCCGGTCTAAGGCGAGTCCTGAAGGCACAGCCCTCCCCCAGGGTGCCAGGAGTCCCAGGCTGTGGGGACAGGGAAGGGACTTTTATCAAACACCTGCCCTTTCAGAGATTCTGATCTTCCTGTCCACCCCCACACCTGCCCTTTTGATGTCCTCTTACTGATGGGAGTGTGTCCTGCCCATCAGGGTAACCTGAGGCAGAAAGAGAAACAGTGAATACATTGAAAACTGCTGATTTACACTATAGATGCTACAGGATATCATCCCCAGATTCCTAACCCTGAGCTTCCAGTGCCTGAGATTCAGGGCTGACCTGGATACGGACTGTGATGTGCAGCTCTACAGCCACACCCTGCTCCAGCCAGGCACATAGGAGGTTCTCAACAAACATTTGCTGAGCCACTGAAGTTGCTTCAGAAGGGCTGCCTTGGACTGCTGAGTCCTTGACTTCCATTTCTCTGGGTGGTGGGTGCAGGAGTTTGGGTGGAGGAAGCTGGGGCGGTTCTGTCCAGTGGAGCTGTGGTGGGAGGGTCATTACCTGGAAGCACAAGGCCTGAGAGGCTCTGGGTTCCTGGGATGGGGGGTGGAGGCTGCTGTTTGCTTTAGTCTCTACTCAATCCCTGCTCACAGGTTGCCTGGCAACCATTGTTCATTTACTCACCATTGACTTTGAAAATAAAAATCAATTTCCTTTATGACGTGAGCCAGAGGGCTACATTAACCCCCAAGTTTAAGCAGTCCAATTTTATTGCTCAAAGATTTATGAGCAAGGATGTATACAGAGCACTATTTATAATAAGAAGGTTTTTGAACCACAATATCTATCAGAGAGGTGTGATTAAAGGAAGGCCCTTTCTTACAACAGAATATTCTGCAGCTGATAAAATAATGATAGAGATCTGAGTGTACTGACAGGGGAACATTCTCATAATGTAAGTGAAAGACACGGGCGGGTTATAGAACAGCGTGCAGCGTGTGTTGCTGTTTTCATTTAACAAGATGTGCGTCTGCGTGCATGTGCCTGTTACTTAAAAACATTCTGCAAGGGTACACATGGCAAACAGAAACAGTGATTTTCACTCTGGAAGGGGATTGCAAATTTCAATTATCTTTCTATCTTTCTCTACTATTTAATTTTTAAAATAAAGCAAGCCTGTGTTACTTTTTCAATCTGCAAAAACAGTAATGTCATTTCTTTTTCAAATGGAGAATTCCAACTCTGAGGGCCAGGGGAACTGCCTCTCCAGGGCCCACTGGGGGTTGAGACTGCATGGATAGTGCTGTTGTCCATTTGGGCTGATATAACAGAATGCCTTAGACTGGGTGGCATAAACAACTCACATTTATTTCTCATAGTTCTGGGGGCTGGGAAGTCCAAGATCAAGGTGCCAGTAGATCCTCACTGTCTGGTGAGGGCCTGCTTTTGGTTTATAGACGGCTATATTCTCACAGTGTCTTCACATGGTGGAAGGGGCAAGGCAGCTCTCTGGGGCCTCTCTTATAAGAGCACTAATCCCCTGCCCCTATGACCTAATTACCCCCCAAAGGGCCTACCTCCTAATATCATCGCACCAATGATTAGGTTTCAACATGACTTTTTGGGTCATATGTTGAAACCATCACAGGCAGCCAGGGCCAGGCTGGGGTTGAGCAGAGGAGTAGTAGGAGGAAGGGAGGCCAAGACTTCCCCTGAAGGACAACCAGAAAGCTTCCAACTAGGGAGTTCTTCTCTCCAGTCCCTGGGAGTGTCCAGGCTGAAGCTGGGTGCTGAGGATGGATGTCATGCAGTAGTGGAGGCTGGGCCAGATGCCTCCTAGAACCCCAGGAAGTGGGAAGGTTGAGCCAGTTCACTGAGAGGGAGGGACGACAGGGCATGGACCAGAGTTGGAGGCAGTAGAGGGGCCCAGCTCTTTTGACTGATCCTCTCTTCGCTCTCTCTTTCTAGGCTGGTGTTCCCTCAGGCTCCCTCTTGGCCTCACATTCTATACCTTACTTCTGGGTGTTCTCATTCATCCTTCTGGGTGATCTCATTCATGCTCGTGACTTCAGCTACCATCTAGAGCCTGACCATGCCCTCCTCTCCACACCTGAGCTTATCCTCCAGGATGGCCCCTGTTCCTAAAAGTCATGCTTGGTTATATCAATCTCTTGCCTGAGATCTTCCATGGGCTTCCTTATGTCTGCAGAAAGGAATAGAAGGCCTTCTGAACCTGGCTCCAAGCTAAGCCCTCCCCAGTTCCATGCATCTTTTCTTTTGCATAAACATTTATCTCTCCATAATGCCACTCCTCTTGTCTACAAAACAAACTCTTCTTTTTTTAAGACCCAAAGATCAACCTCCATGGTGAAGCCTTAGTTTCTCCAGGCACCCTATACTCTGTGCTCCCATAATCCTTTGCACACCCGTTGACCACAGCACTCATCACACTCTGCCATTAATAGTATTGATTTGTCTTTGTCTGACTCTTAGCTTGTGAGTTCTGTGAGGCAGATGGCTTATTCACCCCAGCTCCAAGCTCAGGGCCTGCACATAGAGGTGCCCAGAAAGTGCTGGTAGGATGGATAGACGAATGGTTGAATGAATGGATGGATGGATGGATAGATGGATGGATGGATGAATGGATGGATGGATGCTTGGGTGGATGGATGGATTGGTGGATGAATGAATGAATGGGTAGATTCCATTGTTCCCCTCAATATATGAACATGTAATTTCTCCCATCTAAAAACAAAACAAAACAAAACAAAACAAAAAAACAAAGCAAGAAAATCCCTTGATTCTACTTCACCTCCCTTTCTTTATAAGAAAGACTCCCACAAGAGTGATCCACTATACCAGTCTGTTTCCTCTTCTCCCATGCTCTCTAGCACCCCCTCCAATCGGACTTTCACTACTCCACCAAAACTCTGCTGAAGGAAATTGCCAAAGACCTCTACATTGCTAAATCTAGTGGCCAGTCTCAGTCATCAGCTTACTTGACCTTGGCAACATTGGACACATGTACTTTTTTTGGAAACACATTCTTCTCCCAGCTTCCAGGAACCTTGCTCTCTTGGCTTTCTTTCTACCCCAATGATGGCTCCTTCTCACGCTCCATAGCTGGCTCCTCCATATCTCCCCAACCTCAGACATAGGACTCTGCCTCTGTTATAACTCCCTTAATGATCCCATTCATTTCATGGCAAATGCCTTACCTTCCCTTCCAAATGTGATCCTTGCAACTCTCCCCATCTGAAGAATCAGCAACTCCATCCTTCCAGGTACTCAGGCCAAAGATCATGGAGCCATCCTTGACTTCTTTCTCTCTCTCACCCACATCCAACTCCTCAGTATCCCCATGGCTCTACCTTCAAAACATATTCAGAATCCACCCACTTCTCTCCACCTCCATGGCTACCACTCTGATTCAAGCCATCCAGCTCTTGTCTGCTAACGGTTCACTCCGCTGTTGTCCTCCACCCCTCCTGTCTCTTCTTAACCCAACTGCCAGAGTGGTCCTTTTAAAACTTAATTCAGATTGTGTCACTTCCCTGTGCCAAACCTTCCCAAGGCTTCTTATCTCACCCACTGTGGAATCTGAGGGCCTCATAGTAGCCCTGAAGGCCATACATGATCTGCACCCCCTGCTGCTGTTTCTTCTCTGACGTCATCTCCAATCTTCTTCCCCTACTGCATCCATACCACTCCTCAAATACGCCAGCTCTGCTTCTGTACCACAGAATTCACATTTATCATGCCTTCTGCCTGGAATGCAATGTCTCAGATATATACCTGGCTCATTCCTTCACCTCCTTCAGGTATGGACTTGAATGTAACCTTCCAGGTAAGGCCCTGTCTGCCTCATCGTTCTCGAGAACACATCACCAGCTGTCACTCTTTAGAGCTTCCCACCTATTTATACATCATTGTCTTCCTCCATTAGACTATTAGCTCCATGAGGGTAGGGGTTATGAGTTTTTCTTCCTGCTGCACCTCTGGTGCCTAGAACAGTGCACAGCATGTCGTAGGCGCCTATGTGGATGAGTGAATGAATGATCTGATGAATCCTCACATAGCCCTCATGCAAGTATTGCTCTACCCATGTTTTGGATGAGGAAGCAGAAGCACGGAGAGGTTTGGGGAGCTCATCCGTGGCACTTGGCTCCAGCGTACATGTTCTAAATACCATGCAGTACTATCTGTGGAATGGGGACGATAATAATATCACTGCCTTGCAATTCTCACGAGGTTGTTTGGGGTTCACATGAAATGATGCTCATGTATATTCTTTCAAACTGTAAAACTGGATACAATGATAACTGTTATCATTCTCCCTCCAGTGAGAATTAATGTGTCACTGGGGAAGAACTGATATGAAGACCTTAGAGATCACCTAGTCTAACCCATGATTATAAGATGGGCATGAGAGACTTAAGTTCAGGACAACTGGATCACTTCTAGGCAGGTGCTGGATGGCTTTAGACAACAAAAGCTGGGCTGACCTCTCATACCACTACCTCTGTGTGAGGAGCAGAATCCAAAGGTATCCATCTTTCCACCCATCCATCCATCCTTTCATCCTTTCTTCCATCCATCCATCCAAACATCATTCATCCTTCTGTGCATCTATCTACCCTTCCTTCCATCCATCTACTTATCCATTCATCCATCCTTTCATCCTTTCTTCCATCCATCCATCCAAACATCATTCATCCTTCTGTGCATCTATCTACCCTTCCTTCCATCCATCTACTTATCCATCCATCCATCCTTTCATCCTTTCTTCCATCCATCCATCCAAACATCATTCATCCCTCTGTGCATCTATCTACCCTTCCTTCCATCCATCTACTTATCCATTCATCCATCCTTTTATTCTTCCTGCCCTCCATTTTTCCATCGTGCATCCTTCTGTCCATGAGACGTTCATCATTTCTTCTGTCAGTTCATCTATGAGTCCATCACTTCCCCTATCCTTCCACTCATCTGTTAATCCTCCATTTCTTAATTTATCCATTTTTTCCACCTAATCATTCTCCCAACTATTCATTTTCCCATGTACCCATCATTTTGCACAACTCATTTCCTGAGAGCCTGCTGTTTGCCAGACCCTAAAGTCAGAGCTGGTGGCACAGAGGTCCATAAGACATCCGCTCTCCCAGAGCTGAGGGGAGCTTGCACAAGTGCAAAGAGATGTGGGAAAGTATCCAGTGAGGCTCTTGGGGTGCACAAGTTCTTTAGGTCCTGGAGCTCTGTGTGTGACTAAGTTGCTTGCCTGAGGCCGCATGCTGGTAAAGACTAGGACTAACTGGAGTGGGAGCTGGCCCCAGAGCCCAAGCTTTGAGTGATAATTCTTTTTGCTCCACCATGCTGTTTTTTTTTTCCCTGAGAGAATCGCCTGACCACTGTCAGCTGTGGGGAGAAAATGCTAAGGAGGGGGAAATGCCAGGGCTGCATGCACCGAGGGACCCCATGCTGGCCATCCTCCTGGTGCCATGATCTCCATGACATGAGTGCTCTCAGTCCAGGGAATAGGCAGGTAGGAGAGGGGACTGGTGAGCCAGCTGGGTGCCAGCAGGCAGGAGGCCTCGTCGGGGAGAGAACAGTTAATTCATTAGTCTTGCAGGCCAGCCATGCTTTTCACATTAAGCCCGTTTATCTCCTTGCAATTGCATCTGATCAAGGCAATAGAAAGCA